CTTGAGTGGCGGCCCGCGTGGCTTGCTGGCAGCCGCGGATAACAGCCGCGTTTACATAGGGATAGTTGCAAGCCTCTAGCTCCGCCTGTGATGTTGCAAAACATGCCAATGACGCTTTGCAATTTACACATGTTTTATATATATATATATATATATATATATATATATATATATATATATATATATATATATATATATATATATATATATATATGTTATATATATTAGAGAGAGATAGAGAGAGAGAAAGGTATCAGAATTTACTTGTAAAAACACCGCTAATTATTCAGTACCTATAATGCCAAGGTTGTGAAAAACCGTTTTAACAACGTGTTGGCGACCACCAGCTGACAACGTGAACAGTCCAAGTGTTAAAACATGTCAAATGTAACGAAGAAAACTGAAAATGCGCATTGAAAGTCAAAGGAAATGCATTATATGGCCATATATGTCACCATGCATTATCAAAATATAATGTTGCAAGTGGCGGTTACTGCAACGTACCAATAAAACGTTGTCACGACGTTTTACCACAATTTTCAGACCAAACCGTGGCTTCACAACGTTCAGAACGTTGCTACAACGTAATTAAAACGTAATTTCGCAACTTAACACGACGTTGTGACAACGTTGTAGTAACGTTTCCTGTTAGCTGGGCTTACGTAAACTTCTTTCCATTGGTAGGAAAGAAGCAATTCTAGAGCAGAAACTGAACCAGTTTTAGCAGGTGCTTTCCAGTGCTTTCCGCTTTCCCGCCAGTCTGTTAGTTGGATCATGGCTTCCGTGTCGGGTGGTTCGTCGTGCTCCGGGTGCAAGTGGGAGGAAGACGAACTAGTTTCAGTTGCGTACCGCAACGAGGAACGCGCCCAGCGTATTTTTCGAAACCACGGTGAACTAGATTAGAGGTAAGTAAATTTTATCTGTCCGATCCACTTTTCAAGCATAAATTTTGCATATTCTTACGTTATTTGACATCCTGAATGTAGATTAGATGATTACATGCGGCGTAAAACAGTGCTACCATATTAAAAAAAATATTTGTTACCATATTTGGCAAAATGTTGGGAACCGGGGGTTTTGGGTGGGGAGGGAATACAATGCCGTAAGAATGGTTATGAAAGTTGGGGGAAACTGTTGGGAACCGGGGTTTCTCTGGCCCCCGGCTATGACCCCCGTATGACCAGCGTATATGGCCAGCGTATGACCCCCGGCTCCAGACTGGCTTTACATAGGCTGGCGGAGCAAAAAAAAAAAAAAACGGCGATCCCAGTCGCGTTCGGGGGGGGGGGACGGGTCAGGACACCACACAGAGTACGGTCGGAGAGGGGGGACGGGTCAGGACACCACACAGAGTACGGTCGGAGAGGGGGGACGGGTCAGGACACCACACAGAGTACGGGGATAATGCATCACACTCATATTAAAAAGGAGCATTGACTTACCCTGTGTCGTGCTTCTTTACTCGCTGGTGTCTTTTCACCAGGGGCGGATCCAGAAAATCTCCAAGGGAGGGGCCATTAGAAACCAGGAGGCCCCCCCCCATAATCCCACCTGTTGGAGGCCCCATCTTCCCACTTGTTGGGCCCCCCCCCCCCAAAAAAAAAAACTGCGTCTATTGAGCTTATCTAGCTGTTCAGGCAACATCTCAACATCTGTGCAGGCTTGGAGGCCCTCTGTGCAGGTTAGGAGGCCCTGTAAAAGTGGTCATCTCTGTGAGTATAAGAGACCTCCAAGTTATGAAAAGCTTTACCAATCTTCTAACAAAGAAGTCTTCTCAGCTAGTCTTCTAAGAAATAACTAAGTGGGTAGGTTAAAAAAAAAACTCATCGGATTTCGGCCACTTTATTTTCAGGAGGCCCCCTTTTCAGCTTTTTAACTTTTTATTTTATTTTTGAAAAAAAAAATCGGCCAAGGGGGGGGGGCCATGGCCCCCATGGCCCCCCCCCTTGTATCCGCGCCTGCTTTTCACTGAGAATTGATTGACACATCAGTTTTGACTGAAAAATGCGCGTTGACCGATAGGATTTCTTGTGTACCGGGTGTCCACGGCAAAAGTGTACCCAGACTTTTCTCCGTATTTTATCTTAAAAACATCGCACTCACAAACAATTGCCCTCGTTTGAGAGCCAAGGCAATGGCAAAACATTTGCTTTGCTTTTCAACTGTGTTCGGCACTCTGATGACCAACGCGTACCGTCTAGAGCAACTGCTCTATATGAGCCCCTTTGCTTCGGGCCACCGCCGGCAGACGGACCGTGACATGTGAAATCCCACAATGCCCCGTGCACTGGGGATCCCATTGCCTAGAAAAAGTTCAGACCATGCCTCTGCACAGCAAGAAAGTATCGGTTTGGGTGGCAATGAGGCATGGAGGGGGCATTATCGGCCCCTTCTTTTTCGAAGACGACAGGGGAGAGACAAACACAACACCGTAACGCTAGAACGCTACGCCTCGGAGGCACTGGAACCATTCTGGCGAGAGCTGAAGCGGAGACGCGGGATCCGTCGCCATGAAGAATGGTTTCAACAAGACGGGGCGCCGTCTCACACCGCCAAGCGGTCGCTGGAATTTCTGGAAGAGCACTTTCCTGACCGCCACATCAGCTTGAAAAGCGCGGTGGAATGGGCTCCACACTCGCCCGACCTCAGCCCTCTAGATTTCTTCTTGTGGGGCTTTCTCAAGGACTTGTGCATACGCTGGCAATCCAGGGTCGACCCAGGAGCTGAAAGACTTCAGCATCGACGAGATCCGTCGCCTTCCTTTCCACATGGTTGACCAGGCGATCACCCACATCCAGACTGCCGGCGGTGGCCCGACGCAAAGGGGCTCGTATAGAGCAGTTGCTCTAGACGGCACGCGCTGGTCAGCAGAGTGCCGAGCACAGATGAAAAGCATAGCAAATGTTTTGCCATTGCCTTGGCTCTCAAACGAGGGCAATTGTTCGTGAGTGTGATGTTTTTAAGATAAAATATGGAGAAAAGTCTGGGTACACTTTTGACGTGGACACCCTGTAGGTATAGTGAGGTTTTCGAGGAACGACAATATAACTCTTTCCAAAGAGCACTGTCGATATTCGTCAAAACAAATCGTCAGAGAGAGAGAGAGAGAGAGAGAGAGAGAGAGAGAGAGAGAGAGAGAGAGAGAGAGAGAGAGAGAGAGAGAGAGAGAGAGAGAGAGAGAGAGAGAGAGAGAGAGAGAGAGAGAGAGAGAGAGAGAGAGAGAGAGAGAGAGAGAGAGAGAGAGAGAGAGAGAGAGAGAGAGAGAGAGAGAGAGAGAGAGAGAGAGAGACCGCTTACTTGAGCTTCCTATACGAAATGCACCCGAAGGAAAAAGGATTCCTGTATTTTTCGTCGTTCAGATAAGACCTATCATTTTTTGTGCAACATATCCTTAAACGAATACTTACCTAGGATTTCTTAGGTGTACGGCGTTGCGAACGCAGCAAAAAGGGATGTAATGTGAGAGATGACGCCAAAATCGCACGGTGCGATTTTGGCGTTGCCCGGTGCGCCCTGCCCGGTCGGCTGGCCGCCGGGCCCGGCAGTGGTCCGAGAGTGCTGACCGAGCGCCGCATACAGTCCTTGTGTGGCAGTCCTTTCTCTAGCATTAGCTACGACACCGCACATATTGGTGAAAAAACTACTTGTTGGTTATATGAGCGGCAATAACATTTTCATTGGTTGTTGTATCTGGAACGCGTCCCGTTCCACGGCTGTCGTATGCAGGGCCTCGTCTAAGAGATTTTCACCGGGGGGGGGGGGGGGAGGACTCAAGGAGCCAAACCTAGGGTACCCCCAAATCCTGTTTTCTCACCGGATTTAGGCCACCTATTTTTCATCACAGCCCTGAAACCTGATGAACTTTTTTAACACTAAATAAATAAAAATAGTAGAACATCCGACCCATGCCTTTGCATTAGTTTATAACCCCCTCACATTGCCCCACCAGACAGTAATACGCATACAAAGAATGGAATCTTATACTTTTTGGACCCGCTACATCTTTTTAAAGTCGGTCATTTGTTTACGCTTTCAGCCTCCCATGAATGCTTTACTGTTCATCGGAGTTCAAATTTAACGACTTATTTCCGTTTATCTAAGAATCTTGCTCCCGTTATGGCTATAAGGGAGCCATCACTTATTTGTATGCGCTTCTGCTCCTCTGTTCGTGCAAGGTAGAGTTAAAACGTTGAAATCAAATGTTTTCTGAGAATAATCGAGCGAAATGGACAATTGATGCCCTCGAATGACTTGAACATTGACCTTATCTTAGCAATTTACTACGAACGCATATATTTTTTGCGAACCACATCGGTTTTTAATGGGCCCCACCGGCTTATGAGCGTCAGGTGCCGCGCTCTAATGGCCAGTGCCAGCTTCTGGACCCACGTCGGCCTCTGTTAGCCCACACTAGTCTTTCCCGTCCCCAGAGACAGACCAAAGACAGACCACCAAGCTGAGCTTACGATCACCCAGAATGGGAGCCTGCTTCATTACGATTAGGAGCTTCTCTTGCCGCACACCGGTGACCGTCCAGCCAGAAGTTCGACGTCGCGTATGTAGTGAGGACGACGAAAAGTAGAAACAACAGATTGACGCCCCGAGGACAGAAACAACAGGAGAATACGTGAAAGAGAATATGCGGGACGCGGAGTTAGGTCGCCGGAAAACCCGAAATGTAACGTATTGCTGAGCGAAGAAAAAACAATGGCATTAGGTAAACAGAATAAACACGTGAAAACAGTCAGAGGTAATCGGGCATATCAATGTGCTCTGCATTGCATCCATGTTTCGTTTACGCATTTGTTTTTATGTGCACTGACGCCTTGCAGTAAAAATTCGTTTGCCTTTTCGCTTTTGCCGGCCCCCCCAGTCGTGACATTTTTACTCTGACTGGGGGGCCAGGCCGGTGACTGCGTGGGTTTGGCCCCCAGTTAACATGTTAGACGAGGCCCTGTCGTATGTGTATCCGTTGTATGCGTTAGGAGCACAAATACAAATCATCTCGAGGGCATTTATTGGCATGTTTTGAACATTACAATACCATACACACCATTTTCTACAACTTACAAAAATGTAACTGGATACACCGTCCAAACATAACGCGATAACTATAACAAATAACAGATAACTTATCTTTCCATTTCCATCAAACATCATGCCTGCGATTTACACTATGCATGCCTGCGATTTACACTATGTCTAAGTACAGGGTTTTACACAATGAATGGTACTTGTAAATGTCCTGTAAAACACCCTATTCATTTGTATGCTGACAAAAACTTTGCTCATTTTGTTGCAAATTAAGTCACGCTTTACTTAGCCGCCAGCTGCCCATTCAGCATCATAAGCACACCATCGAACGCATTAGCTATGTGTTCGCCAGTTCCAGTTGAGTTGGACGCAACAGTCATCATTTCATACATTGTGGTCGTCTGATGCAATAAAAAATGTTTAATATTCGATGTTTTCTATAAAAATACCAATAATGAGCAATATGCCGACATGAACGACATGAACTAAGCCGAATTTCACTGGAATGCGTGTAATAAATAGGACACGGAAGCTCGGACGATTGGCCGAGTTTTTAGACGGGCAAGTGTTTCCCCACTGGCTGTTGGCAGCAGCTCGCTAGGACCGGGAAGGCTCGCTCCACTCGGGATGGTTGGAAGTTGGAACGATGGTTCTCTAGGATGGTTCTCTCACATGAAGTCCGACGTAAACTTCGGAGTGACAGGCATGGCGTTCCTGTTTTTCAAAGTCATTTTCCCAAGATATTAGCTATGTATAGTTACTTTTCGGATTATTGAGCGCCACCGTTCAGATACTGCGCCAACACGGGGAAAACCACCATGGCATTGTAGAGATAATTTTGAGGGTTAGATATTTTCGACAATAACGAGACTTTTTCGCAGCGGGAAGGATAATAGGAATTATGGGGAGAATTTGTCTGGGCGGTCACCCTGGTGCGCCCCGGAACGGAGGTTGCCACTTGTACAGACCGACCAGAAACAACGGAACGGAACCTTCTCACAGTTTCCGACTTCTGACAGAACCACGCCAACTGTACTATTGTTTTTTTGCCGCTTCAGTCGCAAAGGGTGGCGGCTGTCGGATGCTGTCCGAGCGCAGCGGCCGTTGATGGCGCCCCGACGCCGTCGAAGTGTCGCACCAGCCGGCGGATGCCGCCGGGCCGGTGCGACTCGGCCGAGTCGGTGCTCTGGTAGCCGGAGTCGTCACGGCCCGCCGGCTCCAGCAGCCGGCGCCACCTGTCCCGCACGCGCCCGCCCGCCGCCGCCGCAGGCTGGCCCTCCCGCAGGCTGAGCGCGATCGCCATGCCGGTGCCGTCGCCGGCCGCACGCTTCATCGCCGACTCGCACTCGGTGATGCGCTCCAATACGTTGGGCAAGCGCCGCTGCGACGACTGGAGTGAGCAGCGCGAGCTGGCCAGCGCCTGAGACAGCCCGCAGCGCGCCACGTCACTGGTCGAGTAGCTGCGCTGTAGCCGCTCCAGGCCGGCCTCCAGCCGACGGCCCAGCGCGACGCTGGCAGGCGCCGATCGCTCGCTGACCGGCGCTGATCGCTCGCTGGCCCCAGAGCCCAGCGAGCCGCACTCGTCGGCCGCACACGACGAGCCGGCCGACGAGCCGCCCTCGCTGTCACCAGCGCTGTTATGTCGACGACGCGGTGCGTCGGTCGCCGGCCCGTCAATCTGACCTAGGAAGTAGCGTCGAGAGGCGGGCGGCGAGACAACCACCGGCGCAGGTGGACGTGTTTTGTTAGGCAGCGGCGGCGGCGGCGGCGGCGGCGGCGGCGGCGGCGGCGGCGGCGGAGCGGCAGATTTGGGCGGCAGCGGCGGCTGGTGGCGCGCCGGCCGCGGCGGAGGTGGCGATGACGGAGGTGCTGTCACGGTGCGGCCACTGCAGCCGGCTCTCTGTGGCGAGTGGGTGCGGGGCGGCAGCGGCGGCGCTGCCGGCGCCCTGGGTGGTATGGGTGGGCTCGGCGGGCCACCGATACCCTCCTGCCTTCTCGGCGCCGGCGAGCCCGTGGCCGCGGCAGGCCGGGCCGCGGCGCCAGCTTCGGCCGCCAGCGTGTCGGAGCGTGGCTGGTCGTTCTTCTTTTTCCACTGCTCCAGCAGGGAGGTGCGCCCGTTGAATTTGACTGTACTGTAGTCCTTGAACGTCTTAAGGTTGCGCTGGCTGTGTCGCAAGTTGCCGACCACCAGCGCGGCGGTCTGCTCGGCCGCTGGCTGGGGCTGTTTGCTGGTCACGAAATTGATGCGTGAGTAGACCGAATTGGCCTCGGAGCCGGACGCAGCCGAGCCCCAGCGGCGGTACAGTGACCCGCCGCTCTCGGCAGACGTGTTCAGCACCGTGTTGACGCTGATGTGCGTCGTCTCAAAGCGTTCCTCGTAGTTGAGTCCCCGCTTCCGTCGCTCCAGTGAGTCGTCGTAGAAGCTGGGGTTGCGCCGTAGCCTCCTGACCTTGCGGACGCGGATTCTGCGCTTCTCCAGTGTGTCCGGATCAAAGACCTCCTCCTCGGACTCGGCGTCGGACGCGCCCGGACGGTCGTCCACCTCGATGGTCATCTTGCCACCGGTGCGGATCACGGTGCCGTCGCCGTGAATGCTGACACTGGTGTACTCGCCGCTGAATGCCGACAATGACCGCTCGCTGGTGTCGAGCTCCTCGTAGAGGGCGCCAGTGGGCGGGCCCGCGCGCACGGCACAGTACACACTCTCCTCGTCCGATGACACCTTGGGCACCTTGGACTCGGCCTCGGACACCAGGTCATTGAGCGCCTGCCGCGAGTGGAGTTGGGCGGCGTTGGTGCGCCGCTGGTGTTGCTGCTGGCGCCAGCTGGTGGTGACCGGCTGCTCCGAGCCCGACTGGCGCACCACCGTCTCCAGCCAGCGGTCGATGTCGACGGCAGCGGCCGGCCGGCCGGCGCCGCCCTCCTCGGCCGGCCGGCCGGCGCCACCCTCCTCGGCCTCCTCGGCCGACTCGGCGATGGCAGCCAGAGACGGCTGGTAGCGCTTGGCCTGCATCTTCAGCTTAGCAATCGTGATCATGTCGCGAATTTTGGCGAGGAACTCGAGCGCCGCCAGTGGAGGGTCCTGCAACACCGTGGAGTCTGTCACGGCTGTGCACCGTCGCCTTGGTCTGTTACACCCCCGCCCTCTGTTACCCAATAGCTGTTACACCCTCCCCCTTTGTTACCCAATAGCTGTTACACCCCCTTGTTACCCAATAGCTGTTACACCCTCCCCCCTTTGTTACCCAATAGCTGTTATTCAATCAGGTCAAGAAATGTGTCCGCATTCGGTGAATTGGCAACCGGCATGACTTTTTTTGCAGACCAATTTTATCAATAAAATCATGTAAGTATTGTCGGGAACGTGCATTATGGTAAGACACCGCGGCGCAATGCGGACGTTATGCATAAGTGCTCGTTACGGTAAAGGATGAATCATAGTGTAATGAATAACAAACTTGAAGACACTTCACCAATTTATAATGCAAACCACAGATAACAGTAGTACAACAACAGTAGTACTACTGTTGTCTGTGTGCAAACTCTTGTAACAACTTTTCTTCAGCTGGGAGTGGGCTATGTACCTACTCACGCTGCAGTATAGCGTAATAAAACGTCATAAAACGTCACTTTCAAAATCATTGAACGCTATCCTCGGCCTACATCATCGTCTTCCATGCCCCGTCATGATGGATTTCTTAATTGACTTAGACATGAAACCCCACGAATTTTATTCCACTAAATGGAGGTAAATAATTCCAGTTTCTTACCGAATGCCTTGGTACACACAAAATCAGAGGACATCGATGTGCCAAAGGCCGATGAAATTCCTGCTCGTTCTATGTGATTGCGCTCCAACATGCTAAACATCTTATCAGCATTCACTCTATTCCGAAGCGTTACTCTCAAGAGCCCACTGTTTTTATTGCGTGGATGCTCGTTTACTGAATGCAATGTTACAGAACCGGTATGAAAATATTTAAAAACAGAGGACATCATAAGACCACCGGCTCCTAAAAGTGTAGGGTATTTTGACAACGTCCCTAAACCATGACCCATTTTGATCGGACCTTTGATTGATATAGACTCGAGAACCCATGTTTTTTATTGCATTTAATGAAAGAAAATAATCGCATTTTCTTATAAAATGCGTGAAAATATTTAAAATTAGAGGACATCGATGTGCCACAGTCCGATGAAAGTCCTAATCGATCTAACTGCGCTCCAACATGCTGAACATCGTATCAGCATTCAGTCTATTCCGTAAAGTTACTCTCGAGAACCCACTGTTTTTATTGCATGTATGGTCGCTTACTGAATGCAGTGTGACAGAACCGGTATGAAAACATTCAAAGATAGAGGTCACCATAACAGTACCGGCGCCTAAATGTGTAGAGTATTTAAACAAAGTCTGTATTATACGAGTCATTTTGATCGGTCTTTTCCATCACTTTGACTTGAGAGAGAACCTATGCTTTTTATTGCGCGAAATGAATGAGAGTCATCGCATGTTCATTGTTCCTATTGAACGCATTATAATATGCAAAATCAGGGGACATCGATGCGTTTCAGCCCGGTGAAATGCCCAACTGATGAATAGCTGTTTGGCCCATTTTAACACTGCGTCGGCATTTACACAGCTTCCAAACGATATGCCTGATAAGAGAGCATGAATTCTTAGGTGTTGCGAGATGTGTATGCATTGGGTCCAGTGTTCATACGCACCCATTCTGGCATAGGTAAATAAGACATTCTTAGCTTATAAAGACGTGTAGTAAACATAGGTTTTTGGTCTTCTCATTATGTTTAAGCGGTATTTCAAGTTGCGTGTAGAGGTATTCATTTTCAGTGTTTTGTCGTAAATAAAAGTGAATTAGCTGTTAAAATGAACACTTATATAACTACAAGCTTGGCTAGTAGTTTCTAGGATTAGAAGTTTTCACTACAGGGATGAAACTTTTGCACTACAATGACGAAAACGTCATCAATCGTCATCAGATATCGTAGTGATATTCTGAGAGAGCACTTCCGGCAGAAGAAAACGCATTACACAAAATAATCGAAGTGTCTTCACTTGTTATTTATTACACTATGGATGTATCTATGCGCCTATTTATGGTTATGCCTAGACTACTTACATGCAGCTGATCCGGGTCAAAGAAGGCTGGATTGAAGTAGAGGCGTCTCCGCAGCTGTGCGCTCCCTCCGCTGCCGGCCAACGTCTCGGTTACAAGCCTTAAACTTCACACATAACGGGGAGTGGGGCACAGTCGTGCAAAAAATGGATAAATCCATTATATCTGTTCTTTGGTAGGTGCAATGGTAAACTTATTGATTGCAGCATGGAAAGGAACTATTGCAGAGATTTCTTTTAACTTTAAAGTTATCCTCTAACTGCTAACATTACCGCTTCTATTAGAAAAATGACTTCCGATAACTTTCTACGTTTGCACGAAACTGCCCCAGTTACGGGGCACTTTCGTGCAAGGGGTGGGGCACTTCCGTGCACTCCGCAAAGTTTGATGAATTACCAGATTACCAGAACTTTACCAAAAGAAATTGGCAGTGGCGTATTTCACTCGATTTCTTTCGACAAGAATGCATTGCACAACAAATGTAGAAAGAATGGGCTGGCCAACAAGAATGTGCCAACTGCCGGCCATCAATCCACTTCCGTGACCTCGCCATGGTCGCGTGAATTACTTGTCAGTCATGGCGTCGCAAGCAGCCCAGACTGAGTCAGGTTAGCGTCATAAATCAAAGCCCACGACAGATAAAGTCATAAATCGCAAAAAAAAAACGAAATAAAATTTGCACGCATATGCTCCTAGGCGGTCTGTACACAACCCTGCCCCACATTATTATTTTCTTGTAATATATTTCACAATTTCTCGTTGAAAAAATGACACTTTTTTTAACCCGGCAGGCGGTGAGCCACCTTCCACCAGGCCACCTTCAGCGCGGTGGGGGGATTTTTTTGCCCCCTCCCCGTATCTCCGAAACTACTGGGCGGATCCGTAAAATTCAAACGGCGTTCAATAGCCCTGTCAAATTTGTCGAGCGAGCTCCAATTTCATTGACCTCCGGATCATCAATGACGATACAGGTCAGGTCAAAGATAAAATGTTTCGCCGTTCACGGGTCCTTTAGGGAATGCGCTATAACCAGACATGTGCATGGATCCGAGTGATGGATCTATGATCTCAGTGGATCTCGAGGCAAATTGCAGACTCGGATCTATGATCCCACCGAATCCGGTGTGAAAAATTTATCCTGGATCTGTGATCTCACAGGATCTGACGATAAACCAAGAACATGGATCTATGATCTGAGTGGATCCCGCCATGCACAACATTTGAAACCAGGTTTTCAAGTGTTTCTTTGTCTATAAGTGCCATAAAACTATGGATTATGACGTGTTATCACATAAAATCACTAAATAAGAACGTTTGTGAGTTGCAACGAGTGTTCTTTTGGGATTTCTGTGCTGACCAAAAATAAATGAGGATCTATGATCCCACTGGATCTCAAGCAAAAATACTAGACGCGGATCTATGTATGATCCCTACGGATCTCTCGATAAATTAAAGAACTGGATCTATGATCCCGACGGATCCGAGATCAGGATCCGTGGGATCAGATCCCAGATCCATTTTCTCGGATCCATGCACATGTATGGCTATAACATCGAGTAAAACGCATTTTGTCGAAAATCAGTGATAGGGCGTAAGTTGCCTAGTACAGTCACCAGCACTTGTCCGTAGGTGTTGTTTTTATCCGCTGGGACTGAGAGCGTGAGATGATGTTTTTCGTACTCCAGCGTAGATGGGTAGCCATACGGCTTCCACGGTTTGACAGTGATGACATCAGTCATCTTTTTGCAAGCTCGTTAAAGATTTGGACTATACGGGGATTCGAACCCCGGACCTTTGGATTAGCGCTCCAATGCTCTACCTCTGAGCTATATAGACCAAGTACTTTTAACGAGCTTTCTGCCAAGTTTTATGCGGATCATTCTTAGGTGTTGTTTTTATCCGCTGGGACTGAGAGCGTGAGATGATGTTTTTCGTACTCCAGCGTAGATGGGTAGCCATACGGCTTCCACGGTTTGACAGTGATGACATCAGTCATCTTTTTGCAAGCTCGTTAAAGATCACTGTCATCACTGTCAAACCGTGGAAGCCGTATGGCTACCCATCTACGCTGGAGTACGAAAAACATCATCTCACGCTCTCAGTCCCAGCGGATAAAAACAACACCTAAGAATGATCCGCATAAAACTTGGCAGAAAGCTCGTTAAAAGTACTTGGTCTATATAGCTCAGAGGTAGAGCATTGGAGCGCTAATCCAAAGGTCCGGGGTTCTAATCCCCGTATAGCCCAAATCTTTAACGAGCTTGCAAAACGATGACTGATGTCATCACTGTCAAACCGTGGAAGCCGTATGGCTACCCATCTACGCTGGAGTACGAAAAACATCATCTCACGCTCTCAGTCCCAGCGGATAAAAACAACACCTAAGAATGATTCGCATAAAACTTGGCAGAAAGCTCGTTAAAAGTACTTGGTCTATATAGCTCAGACGTAGAGCATTGGAGCGCTAATCCAAAGGTCCGGGTTTCGAATCCCCGTATAGCCCTAATCTTTAACGAGCTTGCAAAAAGATGACTGATGTCATCACTGTCAAACCGTGGAAGCCGTATGGCTACCCATCTACGCTGGAGTACGAAAAACATCATCTCACGTCACCAGCACTTGCTACTAATCACCTCGCTTTTGGTCAGTAGTTTGAAGACCGATCAATTCTCAGTCGCGCAGGCACGGTTCGTCGGAAGGTCATCTCAGGCTCAAAAGAAACGATATATACCATTCGAAAGCTGGCGGTGAGCTGAATCCAAAAATGTAGCTTTTCTCAAAATCGATCGATGGCCTTTTTTGAAAATTGCGTTTTTGTAAAAACTTAATAATCTTTTATTCAACGGGCTGTCCCGGACATTCTTGAAAACATAAACATGTATTTTTGAGTTCCAGTGAAAGCTGAACGCCAAAAGAACAATATTTAGCGAAGCAATATTTCCAAACATTAATATGCGTCTCCCACAGCCGAAAATAAGGCGCAACCACACAGCTCAGTGTCACGATGGACCAAAGTCAGCCACACAGAAGCGTGAAATGACCCTTATCGACTCGCAGACCCGGCGCTCTCGGCCCGCCTGACCGGCCACGGAAAGAACATTCGGCTCTCGTTCTACTAAACAAATGTCATATTTGTCAAGTTTAACTGTCCACATCGCTATTGAAGTTATTCAGGATACCTTTGAAGAAAATTCATTGTTCTGTCATCTTCACATCATGCATTAATTTGCATTTGTTCATGTCTACTTTGCTCAATTGAGCTTGGTTATCATACCCATATAAGGAAAATTGGCCGCGCTGAAATGTCAGAGGTTGCACCGGCCTCAGCTCGGGTGGAGTGGGGGTAGCGCGCGGCGGGGCAGGGTAACCTTTGACCGGTCGCACGGCCGAACAGCTGTCACCAGTACAGCCTTTGACAGTGAAACCCCGCTCACTTCCCCTGCGCGGGCACTGATCGCAGCTGGATGGAACATAACATGTATCAGAAAAAATGTAAATTAAAGCATGTTGTAAATCAAGCAGAACAATGAATTTTCTTCACAGGTATCCTGAATAACTTTAATAGCGATGTGGACAGTTAAACTGACAAATATGACATTTGTTTAGTAGAACGAGAGCCGAACGTTCTTTCCGTGGCCGGTCAGGCGGGCCGAGAGCGCCGGGTCTGCGAGTCGATAAGGGTCATTTCACGCTTCTGTGTGGCTGACTTTGGTCCATCGTGACACTGAGCTGTGTGATTGCGCCTTATTTTCGGCTGTGTGAGACGCACATTAATGTTTGGAAATATTGCTTCGCTAAATATTGTTCTTTTGGCATTCAGCTTTCACTGGAACTCACAAATACATGTTTATGTTTTTAAGAATGTCCGGGACAGCCCGTTGAATAAAAAATTATTAAGTTTTTACAAAAACGCAATTTTCAAAAAAAGCCATCGATCGATTTTGATAAAAATTACATTTTTGGATTCAGCTCACCGTCAGCTTTCGAATGGAATATATCGTTTCTTTTAGCCTGAGATGACCTTCCGACGAACCGTGCAGGATGCTTTAAATGATCCGTTTAGGCGTCCGATTTTCGAATATCTCACTCGTTTTTGGATATTCGAAACATTTTGGTATGGGGTGCAAAAAAAAAACTTTTCTGCCGTAAAGTTGCCCCAAGATGTCGTAGAACCTAGCCCCGCCTCTGATCCACAGACCACTAGTGCCATCTCTTGTCAGCCGAACAAACCACCGAGATAAATAATGTCACGTGACCTTTGCACACGCTACGATTATTACGCAGCTGTAGTGGGGGAAGCGGGGCGGAGGCGTGGCGAGGGACGCGCTTCGACCGGTCGGCTGGGGTCAGGTCGCCGAGGTCAGAGGTCATCCGCCGGAGGGTGTTTGGGCGGTTGGGCCGTGTGGTTTGGGGCTTGCGGAGTAGGGAGCGCCTGGACCTGTCTGGAAGCGAGTCCTATAACGCTGCGGCAGTTGAGAATATTGAGAGAGAGAGAGAGAGAGAGAGAGAGAGAGAGAGAGAGAGAGAGAGAGAGAGAGAGAGAGAAAGAGAGAGAGAGAGAGAGAGAGAGAGGAGAGAGAGAGAGAGAGAGAGGAGGGAGAGAGAGATAAAAGAGAGAGAGAGTGAGAGAGTGAGAGAGTGAGAGAGTGAGAGAGAGAGAGAGGGTGAGAGAGAGAGGGAGAGAGCGAGAGCGAGAGAGCGAGAGCGAGAGAGCGAGAGAGCGAGAGAGCGAGAGAGCGAGAGAGAGAGAGAGAGAGAGAGAGAGAGAGAGAGAGAGAGAGAGAGAGAGAGAGAGAGAGAGAGAGAGAGAGAGAGAGAGAGAGAGAGAGAGAGAGAGAGAGAGACGCTAATGAGAACATGAACCATAAAACATGTGTCCCGTGACCGATGCATGATACAAAATGTTCGTGACCTAGGATGACCTATTGACTTGAAAAATTTGAAGGACAAATTTGTTACCCTCTGGGTATTCACAGCATATATCAACGAGTTCGTAGACCAAAAATGAGCCTGATCCGACGTGTTAGCCGGCGCGGTGGCCAGAGTCCAAATTGTGAATAAGCTAAAATGTTG